GCCCAAAGTAGTTTACTTAATAAAATTTTGATTAAACTGTGAATATGTTCAAGAGAAATTTGGTGCAAGTGATCGTCAGGAAGAGTTAGTGATTTGTGTCTTCATTTTTGGTATAGTTAGAGATGGGAAAAATGCGCATTTTATAATAAAATGTGCATGAATACGCATTAATGCGTATGATATATAAAATGCGCATAATACTGCATGATAAAAATTTTTTTTAAATTTTATCTTTATTACTGATAATATATCTAAATAAAGATACTACATATTAATTCTTAATCAGATTTTGTCTACATATATATTGCTTTTACCAATTATCAGATTGAAATTTCATTGCTGCTTATTTTATATATTAAATCATAAATACAAATTTAATAAAGAAAATATATAAAAAAAAGCTTAATATTTAATAATCTTAACTATTTAAACCTTTATAATCTTGATGTTTTATATTTTAATTACTGTTAAATTCCTCAAAACTGATCTTGCCAATATTGATAATTTGCCAAATTGAATAGTTTATAATGTCTTTAAATCCAATAATCTCTGCTAATACAAATATTATCTACTAATATATCAATTTGAAGAGATTTGATAGTAGTTTTTTTTTTTTTTTTAATATTTTAATATTTTTTTAAATATTTTTTTATTTTAAAATTTTTTTAAATATTTTTTAATTTTTTGTTTTTTTTTATTTTATTTTTATTTTAGCTACTAATATTGTTTTTAGTAATCTAATATTTTAATTTATAATATAAAATGTTTATAATTTTAGTTTATTTTTTAATTGTATTTTTTTTTTAAAATAATCTTCTAAATAATCATCATTTTCAGAAATATCATCTATAGATAAATCAAAACTTTGTTCTTTTAAATTATCAGAATCATTTTCATAGTATTCTAAATTATTATTTAATTATTATTTAAGTTATTATTTAATAAATAAAAATTGTTATATTATTTTTTAAAATTACTTACCATTATTATAATTATTATGATCTAAATAATTATTAGTTTCATTATTTAAAATTTTATTATACAATTCATCATCTAACTCATCACTATCTAATTCATCATCTAACTCATCACTATCTAATTCATCATTTAATTCATCCTCTAGTTTATTATTTAATTCATCATTCGATTCATTATCTGATTCACTATCCAATTCAATATTTAATTCATCATTTGATTCATCATCTAATTCATTATCTGATTTATTATCAGAACTATCACTTGATTCATTATCAAAATCATTATCAATACTATTATCTAAACTATTATCTTCTTTATTATCTAATTCAAATATATCTAATATATTTGTATTTTTAATATTTTTATTTTTATAGAGTTTTTGGGTAATATGTG